GGCATCATCGACGCCTCGCACAGCGTGCGCCTGGCCCTCGACGACCTGCGCGCCCTCGCGGCCCGCATCGACATCGTCACCGGCTGCAGCCTGCTACCCGACCTGCGCCCCGGCCTGCCGCCCGCCTGACCCCGCATGTGCCCTGTGGGTTGCTGCGACCTCCAGCGCAGCCTGGGCCCTGTCTCTGGCCTCCACTGGTTCCACCCGCAGGCACGTAGCACCATTGGCAGAGCAGCAGCCCTACTGAGGCGACCAGAGCCAGGGAGTGAGGCCAGGAGCTTGGGGATGCGGGTCCCCCTTGTCACCCACCCAGGATGTTTGCGAGCTGAGAGCAGACCCTCCCCTGGACGTTGCTGGGCTGCAGGGGAGTTGCCGGGATGCCTGAGCCTGTGCTGAGCTGATGGAATAGAAGCAACCATAGGTGTGACATGTTTGACACTCCTGATTTCTGAGGTGCAGCCTCATCACCCAGCTGTGACCCCCAAGCCCCAGCATACTGCTTAGCAGGGCTGGAGCAGGACAGGGAGAGTGGACAGTCAGGAGATGTGCCAAGGTGTGGGGGCTGCTTGTCATGTGGCCACTGGCTCATCTCTGTAGCCCAGAGAACTTCAAGCTATATCTTGCCAGGCCTGGCTCTAACCCCATCTGTTCCCTGGGCCCCTGTGAAGTGGACTGCGCCTTGGCAATGCAGATAAATATCCTGGCAGCTCTGCCTACGTTTCTCTGCTCCCACTTCTCCATCTGGGAGGCACCCTTCTGGCTCCATGTTGGAGCAGTTGCAGCAGGAGGTGGGAAAGAGGGGGCCTTGCCACAGCCTGGCCTGGACTGGGTTGCTTATTGCAGTCTCCTAGGGAAGGGAAATGCGGATCAGACAACTTCTTGTGCTGAGGCAGGCAACCTTCACCCCCAGGCCCCCTGCTTTCTGGGCAAGGCCTCAAACAGGCAGGCTGTTCTATCAAAAGGGAGTGGCACTAGGACCACTTCCCCTCTGAAGGGAGAGTGAGTCAGCTGCCTGGACACAGGAGACTTACAAATGCGGGAGTCTAGGTAAGGGGCTCAGGTTGAGTCCCACTGCACTTAGGCCAGTTTGAAGGGGGACATGCAGCCCTGCCTCCATCTTTGTCACTTCCTTTTGTCTAGCTTGCTAGAAGCTAGGCACTTAATCCTGACCAGGGTGTCTGCTTTCCTGTGCAGAGTCCAGGGAGTAAGCCCTGCCCTGAGGCACAGGAGCACTTGGCATACCTACGCCTAAGGTTCTTTGCCCCCTCACTTTGCCAAGTCTAGGAAGCCCCTCCCCATCCTCCTCCCTTTGGACCATGGGCATGGCTCGCCTATTTGAAAAGAAGCTATAGACAAATGATGGGTCTTTAACAACTGTATTGTCGCAAAGCTTCATTATCTGCAGCATGTGCTGGGGTGAAGGTTGCTAGCACCCTTCCCAGCTGGGAAGTTGGGGGTGAGGGAGGAGCCTCCCATCCCCTGCGCTAGGGGGACAGCTCATGCTGTTGGCCATTACCATGTGTACTGGACATTGCCCGTGGCACTAGCCATAGGAGAAGGGGTGGCTTGCTCTGTTCCCACCAGCTGAGCAGCCAGGGAGGGGACAATCAGGGAACCTAAGCAGCTCCACCTCTCCAGCACCTGCCCCCTGAGCTGTGGTAAGCCTGGGAGACTGCCTGCAAGCTGGACTCTAGGGACTGAGCTCCCCAGCAGCTTGTCCACCAAGTACAAGGAGTCAGATAGTTGGCAAGGAGGCATGCAGTTGCTAGCTTGATCTCTGCACATTTTTACATGTGCTCTGGGAGGGGGAGGTGGGAGTGCTTTAATTAGTGAGCGCTTTTAATTAAAAGCATTTGAGCATCACATGCATCAGTGTTCCCTGCACTGAAAAACAGTGGTGGGGTGCTTTGAATTAACACTTATTGAATGAGCTTTAGTTCAAAGCACTCTGCTGCCATTTTTCAGTATGGGGGCACTAATACATGTGATGCCAGAGTCTGCTGGAGTGCATTTATTTCCATGCTCCAGCAGACTCGATTTATAGGACTGCACATATGTAGGTGCCCTCTAACTTCCCTCCCTTGGTTGGGAGAAAGTGGCTCGGTCCTAGAAGGGGAACTGGTCCCTAGATCCTTATGCTGCTGCTTCTGTTCTGCCCCTGCTGTTTCCACAAGGAGCCCAAGTTGCGCTTCTGTTCTGGGCAGGCCATTGCCCCAGGCTGGCAGGAAGAGCAGCTGAGAGTGTGTGGCTTCCCAGAAAGGTAACCTAGTATGTGTCCTGCTGCTGGGATGCCAACTCAATCCTGGTAGAGTGGGGTTCCCTGTGAACCTTGTGCCACTGGAAATACACTTCCTCCCCATGTCATAACCCCCTGGGAACCAGTTTGCAGTTGTCACAAGTCAGCATTGTCAGCATGTAGAGCACTGAGCATTCCAGAGAGATCAGTTGTCTTTCAGGCATCAAGAGCTGCTCCTCGTCCCCAGGGACACGAGCACCCAGCATGGCAGGCCTCCCAATGAGCCAGGGACTCCCTAAGTGAATAGGAAAATGCCACGTGGCTGGCTGCTGCAGTGACCTCAACCCCCAGAGCAAAATTTCCAAATGTATTTTTACTGCAATGGCAAATAGCAATAAATTAAAACAAAGAAAATGTTCAGAATCACACTATGCACATGTTATACTGCTTCTCAGTAAAGAATAAGCTGCAACCAGTTTCCCCATTCCTGATGCTTCTCCTAGTCAGTCTGGTAAGCAGCAGATTGAATCCACCTCCTCTGGAGCCTCTGCAGGGATTCAATGTGCTTGTCTTCTTTCTTTTTTTTTCCAGCAGGTATCCAGAGCAGGATGCCCCTCTGGCTGAGGGAAAAGTCATGCAAATCTCCCCTCAACTTAGTTCAGCTCCTGGGACACTGGGCAGATTCATTCTTCCTCTGATAGCAGGAGACAGAGCTTATGCAGCCCCAATCAGCTTGTTTTCCACAGGACAGTCCACTACCATCCCCCAACCCCTGCCCCTCTTCACAGAGCAGTCCCTCACAGCACCCTGCAGCCCCAGTGCGGTACATGCAGCATGGCCACCAGCCACTGCAATTTCTACCAACCTCCCTGCCCTGCCCCAGCCCAGCATGTTGAAGAGGGTCTCCCTGACCTTCCTGAGATGGACCCATTTTCAACCATGCCCTTCTCAATGTAAGAGGGTTACAGATGCAGCCCTGGGGATGAGCATAAAAACTGCCAACACTTCCCCCCTCCACCACCGCAAGAATGCAGCCTTTGGCCCAGTTCCTCTCCCTGCCACAGACTCCCCAACTGGCTAGAAGTTGGACCTGTCTAATACCAGAACAGTCTCCAAAAACTTCCATCAGGGAAACCATGTGGGCCCCACAGCTCTGACAGCTGCTACATGTTTGGGATACATGTTGGAAATCCAGCCTCAAGCAGTGCGAATTGTCCCCATGGGTAGGGGTAAGCAATGCCCACAGAATGCCCTAATGCAATGGGGAAGATTTCCCAAGGCACAGAGGAGGCAGACCTCTCCCAGCAAGACCCACTCTGCCACCATTAGGCTTCTACTGTTCTCGTGTCTTGCTGGGAGTTGTGGATCCCATTCTTTGTGGAGGGCACAGGAACTGCTGGTGTACAGCCCCAAAGATTTTCTTCAGTGTCTGCAGTGAAAGCCATCATGACATGGTGTGAGCAAGAGAGACAAGCATTTATTGGATTAAAACCAACAGAATGCCATAGCCACAACCTAGCACCCACTGACTGGCTCCCCTGGCAATGCCTGTGCATGTGCTAGCTCCACAAAGCTGCTAACTCCATTGCTAACCAACACTTGCATCCAACCACTCAGTTCCTGGTCCCTATTCCAGCATGAGGCCTACCAAAACTCATGCAGTTGCTATCAGTTCTTGCCCAGGGCCCCTTCCTTGACCATGTTCCCAAGACCTCCTGTAAATCCCAGCTGTGGACTTCCCAAGCACCAAGAGACATTGCTGGCGAGTAACACAAGCCTAATCTGAGGTCAGAGGTGATAGAGCTGCCTCCAAAGCTCATACAGCTTGTGTGAGGTCAGCCACTTCTCTTTTCATTTTCCAAAGTTCCCATCCCTGTAAGTTAACCCAGTGCTTGAAAGCCACCAATGCATGTACAACTGGAGACACTTTTTGCACAGATCACAGGCTGCACAATGCAATTGTAAGGGGCACTTGAGTAGCTGAAGAGGAGACTAACCAAAGCCAGGAGTTTTGCAGTGCTGCATACAGCCATAGTTCTTGCCTGGAATCTGGAAATTAAACAGAGACTATATTAAAAAAAAGTATTTCAGACCTCCTCTCAGTTCCTCCAGTGAAGAGAAACATTCACAAGTAACTTAAAATAAACAACATAAAACATACGTTGTTTTACAGGCTCCTACCCTGGAGGTCTTTAAGAAGAGGCTTGATGCCTAACTGGCTGGAGTCATTTGAACCCAGTTTTTCTCCTGCCCAGGCGGGGGGTCAGACTTGAAGATCTACAAGGTCCCTTCTGACCTGACTTCTTTATGATTCTATGATATCATAGAATCATATAGAAGTCAGGCTGGAAAGGACCTCCAGAGGTTGCAGCGAGTCGAACCCCCAGCCTGAGGCAGGAATATCCCTGTCCAAACCATCCCATACAATCCATAATCTAAACTCTACATCCCTCAACCCTGATACAACACAGACCTAACACCCTAACCTGCCAAGGGTAAAGCAAAGGAGCCACAGCACTTAATATTCTAGGAAAAGGTTTTCAATATATGCTCCATGTGGCGGGTGCAAAGATCCCACCTCAGGAAAACAGCTGGGTATTCATATCCCACCGCTATTTCCACCACATGAGGTGGGCCAGTAGGGGGTGCTCCTGTGTTGAGCTGCCCACCTCCCTGCACCCAACCACCTTCCAGGCTCTGAATGCCTCCCTAGGGGCGCCTTATGTCTGGCTGACCCCTCTCCTGGAGCACACTCGCTAGTCTGGGGG